AATGAAGGATGGCGGGGTAACCCGGGTGGATTTGTCACTGTCATGCGAACAAAGTTTAGATATGCTTGCCACTCCTTCATAAAATTCCCAGGTTTTGTCCATGGATAATGAAACCGGGGGGCTTGTTGAAAAGGGCGCGGATAAATATGTTTCTCATTTGCTTGGTTTCTCGCAGTCTGCATAGAAGCGGGTCTTCTATTATATTTATCGGTATAGTTGCCATTATGTACCTGTTGGTTCTTCCGGTATTTACTATTTCCTCGGATGGTTTTCATTTTAGCGTTTGATGGGACACGGTACGTAATCCTAGTTGGAATAGATTGGGATTCTTTATGGGTAGGGGGAATAACTTTACTGGACCTGGTCAATCGGTGGTTCGATGGCTCAATGTTTTCATTAGCTTTGGGAGGCATGCATTCTTTAGCTGGTAAGGGCTTACGTTTTGAATTGTTTCCCTTGTCGCAGACAACCGCCGGTTGATTATTTAAAGAGGGACTGCAAAATACGGCAGTGTCACTAGAGCCCTCCATGGGGACACATACTTGGTGGTTATTTACTAGGGAGCTGATAGTAGAACCATTAGTTGCGCTAGGGGCTTCGTTTGAGACAGCTGAGGGCAGGTAATATGATAGGGTGCTACTAGGGCGCTAATCATAGATATTTTAGCTGTTTTGGCCACGGTTTGACTTGCATATAACAGGTTATCATTGTTTGAAGCACAAAGGATAGATTCATGACTAACTATACTGTCCGTAAACAAGTCAGAACTCTTACTTGATTGATTTAATATAACCTCTTTCAAACGGTTACCTTCTTGGCCTTGAAATAACAAAGATTTCTTGTTGGTGTAATATGTAATAGTTATTTTATCGTTTCGAAATGCCTTTGCTGAGCCTCTCGGCGAACTCCATTTCCCATCGGCACCAAACAAATCAAATATCAAACATTTCAGTTCGTCAAAATTTCCTAGCCATTTAATTTTCTTGTCAGGTTGCACTTGGAAGTATTCTTTATACTTTAACAAATTCTCGTAGGTTTTGTTGTTAGTTTCGTTCGCACAAACGTTGAGTATTTCACAAGGATCAACAACGACCGCCATCTTGCATCGGCGCATTTCCTTCGTCATTCATTTGTGAAATATCATCATATACAGGTATTTTGAGATATAATATTGTTGTCAGTTGCATAATAACTTCAGATCACTGTTCAATATTGTCTACTTTTAATAGCGCTAACATACAAATCGATGAGCTGTTTAGGGATTATATTTGCTACTAAATTTCCCAAAATTAGAACTTCAGTTGTTGTTTTGTTCCAGTTTGATCCATATAATGTACCATTTTACATATCGAATATGCTATCGAGTATAAATGTTTACGAATACATAAGTTAATTATTAAGCAGCTGTTAATAGCGTGCGTGTGAAATGAACATTAATCCATACAAGGTTTGTTATTTTATTACATATTCTACCACCTCAAACTCAAATTATAGCAAATAGTTTAAAATAATTATTTTAATGTGTGTTCACTTTGATGCTCAGTTAAAATAATCAGTAAAATTACTTTCTTTTGATACACTATTGTTTATTGATCTTATTATATTCCACAAGTACTAGTAACCCAAAAATACAGCATTGAGATATGTTACCCCAGTGCGACACCAGAAATTATTATTGTCTCCCCACACGTCGCGTTTAAAAAAAATGGAAGCTTGTTGCTCGTTTAACGCCGGATTAACCATGTGTCAGATGCGGCAAATGCCACGGGCCTCGCGCTTATGGGGGCATTGCGCTTTACTGTGCCACGCCCATTTTTACGAGAACACGGCCATTTTCTATTGGGACACACCCATTTTAGGTAGTTGGCCCCAACACGGCCCCGGGAAGATATGCAATACTCGTGTGCATATAATCTCCAGTTGCGTTGAGCTGTTATATTATGATCCTGTTTATACATGTTGACCCAACAACTGGGCCAGGCAGGCCATTGTCTCGTTTATAATTGATGCTAATAAATTGAAATATTGAAAAAAATTATTTAACAATTTTGTGTGTCTTTAAATTCAAAGGTTTTCATAACAAGGCGGAGAGTGGGGGGGGAGGGGGTTGGGGGCCTCGCGCTAAAATCTGCCACGAGCCTCGCGCGACGTTAATCCGGCCCTGGTCACTTGTCGGTAGTTCTTGTGGTTTTAATGCCAATTGCCAAAGAACGAAAGAGAGCACCGATGACTTCCCCCGTCGGAGAATTACTGGCGCAGCCCAGGCCAGCTCAGTGAAATATGGGGGCCCAGGGCCAATTATATCTTTGGGGCCCCGGTGAACCACAATAATTCCCCTCCCACCTGTCCGTCGACAAACTTTTTACCCCCTTGCAAATTTGTATTTGCCGGCCCTCCTTGAGCTGGGGTCGCGGAGAAAATTGCTCCCTTTGCCCCCGCCCCCCTGCAAGGGCGGCCCTGGCGCCACCCCTGTCTTATCATAACTATCTACTTCAAATAATTTTTAAAGCCCTGGTCTTTTTCAAGTAGTTTTTTGTCCCGAAAAAAGTAAAAGACTTAGAAATGGTGATTAAATTATTTAGCCTACTACGGTATGTTATTTAATAACGAGCAAGGGTTATAGTAGGGATTTAAGTTATAAAGTTGGTGTTTGGAATAGGGTTAGTATAAAGCTTTGTTACGTTTTGTCATTCTGAGGCCAGCGAAATAACCTCTTACGCAACATGTATGCGTACGCGTCTACTATCGTCAAGAAACAATCAATACGTATAATCGTTGTGGTCTGTGGGATTTTAATGAGATTTAATGACCTTGCAGTTTTAACACACATTAGCCGAATTCATATTAGAGACGGGAAACTCGTATTAGACGGGAAACTCGTCTTAAATTCGAAATTATCCGTCCCTAAATTCATATTCAGGCGGGTTTTCACAGACGAGTTTCCGTCTAAGACGAGTTTCGCGTCCCTAATATGAATTCGGCTATTCAAATATAAGGGCTGGTAAACTAAAAATAAAAACTCCTTATATTGATAAACATTATAAACGTTCATTTCATGTACACGCACGCTAACACCTGCTTAATAATTAACTTACGTCTTCGTAAACATTAATATAGTCGATACATAACTGGTACATTAATTTAATAATATGGACAAAATGGAACAAAACCTCTGAAAACAGCAGTTGTAGTTCTAATTATTTTGGTAAATTTAGTAACAAATATAATACCTAAACAGCTCATCGCTTTGTATGTTAGCGCTATTAAAAGTAGACAATATTGAACAGTGATCTGAAGTTATCATGCAACTGACAACAATATTATATCTCAAAATACCTGTATATGATGATATTTCACAAATATATCGGGATTTCTGGACCAATTTTAAACTTAGCAAGGCAAAAAGTCTCCATTCAAGAATATATCTTCTTATCAAAAGGTAAAATACTTAAAATACTTGATTAAATTGTTTACTTCGACGGTATGTAAATTAACAGCGTTTGACTTGCAAGACGTCAAAAACGGACGATTTCAACGCGCTGTCGTTTATCGCGTATTCATTTGCCCAAAGAAGTATTTACGTCAATTGAAAGCTTGTTTATTAAAGAGCCAACTAGTAGAAGCATGATCGATTTGGAGCTTTATCCCATGGTGAAAATCGGTTTTGTTAAGAGGGTATCGTAAATGAGGTAAGATAGTGTGCTCCAAAACTACGATTATTTCTATTCCTAAAAGTAACTCAGATTTCCTGTAAGTCACGTACCCGGTCCTTTGAATAACCGAAAACAAGATTTTTAGGGTTTTAGATCGATTAGAAACGGTTGTCGTCGTGAAATTTGTCGGTAAAATCAGCGCATATTTTCCCAGACAAAATGGCGATTTAGGGTGGTCGTGTTAAAACGGCATTTTCTCAAAGTTAAAAAAGCATTTGACCTAAAAAAATATATGGTGCATTTTCCGATATAATAAGGTATATCTGGGCAAAATTTGAGCAAAATCGATTTTTCCGTCGTGGCCGCCTTATGTTTGATTTTTGTGGACATCCTCTCTTAAGTACAAAAGATGGACTCCGTTTTTTATGATACACCCTGTATGTTGCTGAAACAAGTTTTAACCTGTATAAATATGATATTATTATTATTAAAAGCCAGGGGGAAAGAATACCACCCTGCCGTGTTCCTTGCCTCAGATTATAAATCCTTGAATAAGCACCATTTATGTGGACGACCGCTCATATTCGTATACCAACTTCTGATGATCCTCCATTAACGTTTACCTTTTATTCCAGCTTTATGAAACAGTTTATACAGCATCGCATCAATCCACATTTTGTCGAACGCTTTTCGAATATCCACGAAACACGCATACACGCAATCTCCCTCATCACAACAGCTTTTAATAGATTCATCGATCATAAAAGCTGTAGTTAATGCGTCTTGTTCTTTTTGGTAAGCTCCCTGGAGACTATGGATTTGTGTTGGAGGAAGCGATTGTATTCTGTTCAGAATGATTCTTTGTAATATTTTGTCGAAGGCAGGGAGAAGACTTATGCCTCTATGATCATGAAAACCACTGTTTTTGCCGTTGTGACTCTTTGGTATTGGTATTTTTATTGCAATTTTGAAACTGGCTGGGATCTTTTCTTCCGTAATTATCATATTAAATAATGACAACATATTACTTAGCAGTGTATCACCACCAATCTTAACGTGTTCATAACAAACTCCATCTAATCCAGGAGCTTTTCCATTTGGTAGATTTTTAACTACTTCCTTAAGCTCTTCCATTGAGATTGGTCTATCTATATATACTTCATGTGCGTTGTCGCGCCCAGCAATGGATATTACTTCTCTCTTAACATCGTTTTCGTCATCAAGTTCAGGAGTGTGAAGGTTTTCAAAATAGTTGCCCCATTTTTCAGCAATGTCCTTTGGATTATCATAAATTTCATTGTTAACTTCAAGTCAGTTGTGCAATACACTACAAATGGCATCTCGACCTTCAACCCAACTCATACAAATATTGAGCTGCTGATTTCTGGTGATGTAGAGCGAAACCCAGGTGATGGCGTTGATAATTATGATACTACACAAGTAAAGTTGCCGGATAAAGGCCTAAGAATTGGTCAATGGAACGTTCAGCACTTAACAGACTCGAAGTTTGAACAGATAAATTTAATTTTGAGTACATGCAATAACATCGATATCTTATTCTTATTGGAAACATTTCTTAAGCCTTCGAAGCCTGATTCGGTGTATAATATTCCTGGCTACAGTTTATATCGGAAAGATAGACATGGGGCGAAAGCTGGTGGTGGCTTATTGATGTATGTTGCTGAAAGAGTCAAAGCGAAAAGAAGATACGAGCTCGAAGATTACTTCGTCGAATCATTTTGGTTCAATGTGTGCCCTCATAACTCGAACAGACCAATTTTAGTAGGGGCTCTTTACCGTCCACCCTCTGCAAATGCAGACGCTGACTTAAATATCGAAAATCATATTGAATCAGTGTATCTAAAGAGTAAAGAGATAATTTTGGTCGGTGATTTCAACATCAACTATCTGGATCAGAGTGCCTATTCTAAGCATCGATTAGCTAAGTTTTTTAAGGGTCTGAATATGTCTCAGCATGTGAAAGTTGTTACAAGACCAGCTAGCGAGTCCTGTTTGGATCATGTCTACACAACAAATTCTAAATTTATTTCCAACATTGTTGTGCCCGACATTGGTTTATCTGATCATTTTCCTGTGTTTGTCTGTCGTAAATATTTTGACCATAATAAAGACCCTACTCATAAAACCATCAAATATTTCGACTTTAAGAACTTAGACACAGATGCCTTGCTAAACGATCTTAAAGACTGCCCTTGGGACAGTGCTTTTGTTTTCGACGATGTTGATGACATTGTCGATACGCTTCAAGTCCTTTTAAGTCAGGTACTGAACGAACATCTTCCAGCAAAACAAAAGCGCGTAAGGAAGATTAAACAGCCTGACTGGTTTAATGATCGCATTGTTACCGCGATAAAAACCCGCGACAAAGAGCTTAATAAGGCGAGGAAATCGAAAGATCCAAATGACTGGGCAGAGTATAAACGTTCTAAGTGTTTTGTTATAAACTTAATAAAGAAGTTAAAACGTTCATACTTTCAAGAGTCAATTGACAACAACAACGGAAACCCACAAGGAATTTGGAAAGCGCTAAAATCTCTTACCAAGTCTAAAAAACAAAGCAAGATCACAGAGTTAAAGAGGGAGGATGGCACGTCAGAAACTGATATACTAGCTATGACGAATATGTTAAATGAATTCTTTGTGAATATTGCGAGCGGTTTGTGCGCTAACTCTACCCCAAGTGAGTTGGATACAAGCATTCTTGAGAACTTTGTTTCGTCTAAATTTACTAATTACAACACTCAATTTAACATCCCTCCTATAACGGTACAGGACACTATGGAAATGATTGATAGTCTTTCGAGCCGGAAAGCAACAGGTTCTGATGGTATTAGTGCCAAATTATTGAAATTGGTTGCACCCGTCTTATGTCAGCCTCTAACACGAGTCTTCAATCTATCCTTGGAAAAAGGGTGTTTCCCAAGAAAATGGAAGGTTGCGCGGGTAACCCCGCTTCACAAAGATGGTGTGCGTGACATCAAAGATAATTACAGACCTATATCTGTTTTATCTGTGCTGTCAAAATTGATTGAAAAGCACGTTGCACGATCTCTCATGAGCTACCTGGTGGAGAACAGGTTGTTGTATCATCTGCAGTCAGCATTTCGCGAAGGCCATTCCACTGATTCAGCTCTGATAAACTTGACAGACAAGATATTGTTTAATTTGGACCATGATGAGGTTACCGGAATGGTGTTTGTCGACTTTAGAAAGGCTTTTGACGTAATTGACCATAAGATTCTCCTAAAAAAGTTGGAGCTTTATAGAGTGACTGATGTAGCGTTGACCTGGTTTAAGTCCTACCTTTGTGATCGCTACCAATTTGTTTCTCTCGAAGGTAAATCGTCTGAATGCTTACCACTGACGAAAGGGGTACCACAGGGTTCAGTCTTGGGACCTGTATTATTTCTGCTATTTGTGAATGATTTACCACTTCATTTACAATATTCTTCAGTCGACATGTTTGCTGACGACACTACTATGTCTGCATGTGCTCACTATTTGGACATTTCTTCGATGAATGATGGTTTAAATAGTGACCTTCATGCTCTTAATGAATGGTCGTTGCAAAATAAAATGTTCATAAATGCACGAAAAACAAACTCCATGCTTGTGACTGGAAAAAGGATACCAAAGAAATTGGACTCACAGAATGACCCATGTCTGCAGCTCAAGATAGATGGCGTTGATGTCAGCGGTGTTGCCTCGAAAAAACTTTTAGGAATTACCTTGGATTCTAAAATGAGTTATGAAGCGCATGTCGAGGAACTAGCGAAGAAGATTTCAAAACGATTAGGATTGCTTAAACATATCAGTCCTTATCTCAAGCAACATCAACGAGAAACATTTTATACTTGCGTTATCAAGCCCACTCTCATGTACGGTAGTATGGTCTGGGACAGCTGTAATATCAATTGTCATCAAAGACTTTTGAAACTTCAGAAGAGGGCGGCAAGAATTATTCTAGATGTTGATAAAAGAACGCCTTCAATTGACCATTTGCGTAATAGACTACATTTTGAACTAAACAAGTCTAGACATAAATTCACGGGAAATTGACAGCCTCAAACCCTTCGAGGCTGTCAATTTCCGGTTTGTAATCTAAAATGACTGAAAATGGCAAATTTCGCAAGGCTATATTTTCCGCATTTTACAACATTTTGCAACGAAACTTTGGAATATTACTAATTTTGTGATGCTCTTTCAAGCTGTAATGAAATTTTTGTTGAGATCAAAATTTAGTCTATTACGCAAATGGTCAATTGAACTTTTTAATAAGCTAAATTGGCTGCCTTTGTCGAAACAGTCTCTTATAAAAAGAACATCTATAACTTTTAAAAGAAAAAAATACAGATTATGTTATCCCTGAATATTTAAGCACTATGCTAGTAAGGAACTCAGATATTCATACTAGAAATACTCGCTTTAATAATATGAACATGGTGTGCCCAAAATACACACTTTTATAAGTTTTAGTATTGTATTAGCTTAATTGTAGTTCTGTAAGGAGGGCCACGAATTTATCAGTAGTTCACACTTACTGTCAAGTGTTTACCCTCATGAAATAAAGTCTAAAGTTAAAGTTAAAGTTAAGAATCGGAGCGCTTTTTGTGCATTGTTTACGTCTATTGATTAACCTCCAAAACCTCTCATAATCTAGCTCATGATCTTTCACTATTTCCTCGTATTCTTTTGATTCGTACTCTTTTATACAATTTCTCTGTTCTTTTCTAAACAAACGTTTAGCCTCTTTGTAATCATGGAAGGATATGTTGTCTCGACCTCTCGGCTTCCCTTTTCGGATCCATAAATTATACTTCTTAATGACCGTTTTTTTTTAGTCCATTTAATTTTCTGTTCCAGTATGGCTTGATATGCTTCTTGTAACTAATACAAGGTAGGGCTTTATTAGCAATTATGATACTTTTAAGAATAGATTGATAATAATCTTCAGTGGTTAGGAGCCCTTCATCTGAATCTTGTTTAATGAGATTAAGTTCTCTATTAAGAAAACTTTGAAAAAGATCGATGTTTAAATTCGTGCATTTTTCCATGCAAAACGTGATCGTTTTGGCTCAGACATGTCCTCGTGTGAATTAAAAGTATCCTGCCTTCTTGGGAAGTAGATTGTAGCTTTAACAGGTAAATGGTGTGTCGTAGAATGTGGGTGAATTTCAACCACCTCCAAATGAAAGGGATTTTTTTACGTTTATCGTCAAAACAGATGTAGTCAATGGTTGTGTGCGCAGTAGATGATTCGTAAGTATACTGTGGCCCAGTACACGTAGGTAATAAGTTAATAGCAGTTAGTCCCATTTTCTCTAGGAATGTTGAGACCAACCTCCCTCGCTTATTTTCATTGCAGGGTTCCTGGCTCCTGTGATATGGGCGTTAAAGTCTCCAACTATTATCAGGTCATTTTCCCCGCGTTCTTTCAAACACAATGATTCTAGGGCGTTTAGTTCGTTTTGAAAATCAATGGTGCTGTAATTAGTCGAGGGTAAATAAACACCGCATATAATCGATCACCGCGCAGGCCCTGTTTTGATTTTTATAGCAACCAATCTATCGCTCAGGAAGATTTTCTTTACCACTAGATTTTCCCTCCAGAGTAAGCCCACACCCCCCTGTCCGCGTTTCCATCGACGCGTGTTATCGTTTAAACGTGAGCTAGAAGCATAGTAACAAAATTGATCGTCAAGGGCATCTAAAAAACTAAGCTCGTCATTATAAAGCCAGTGTTCTGAAAGTGCTAATATATCAGTATTTTTAAGGAGATCTCTTGCATAGAAGTAATTACCGTAAATGCCCGAACAGTTCCAGCATGCTATTCTTAGCTTAATCACCACTGTTGTTCTTATTTAACCATTTTGGTTTCGAGAGCCATTCTCTCGCATACACATGTTTTGGCCAAAAATCATTGTCAGAAGCTCTTTCAAAATCTACTGTTTTAACGTTTACTCGAACGGCCACAGTTCCTTTCCTTTTGCTTTTGAATAACCTCATGAATGTTGGGGAAATTCCCTTTTTTTCCATATAATTAGTAATTGATTGTTCATTAACCCCCTCGCGTACACCACCTCGATATAAACGCTTGATTTTATGTTTTTGTACACCACCAAAATCCGTTTCCTCGCAGCTTACATTATCCTTTTTACTATCAATTCCGCTTAAATTTGAATTTTGAAGCTCAACCACACCACTATCCTGAACAATCTGCTGACTTAGATGATTTAAACTGTTACTATAGAGCTTGTTTTAGAAGCTAATGAGTTGAAATCACCCACCGAATTTTCCGCACCTGAGTGAGCAGTTGTGTCTTCCTCAATTTTATTTTCAATGGTAGACTGAATTTCTATACCGCTTTGTTTCGCCATATCTGCATACGATTTACGATTGTATAGAGGTTAATTCCCTTGTGACTGCCGATTCGACTGATCTGTTGTTTGTATTTAATTTTCTTTTGAACTTGTCAAAATCTTTGGACAACTTAATTGATTTATCTTCGAGTTTGTCTAGACTAACGTGTTGACTTTGTAATTGCGTTTTCTGGCCTGCAAGGTTATCAGACACAAATGTTTTATTAGACTTATAGTTACCCTTAAAAGCTGCCAATTCAGACTCCAGAGAAAAAACTTTCGCATCCCTTTCACATAGCCTTTCCTTTAGCTCAGCACTTTCCTGCTTCAACAACTTGATTTCTGCATCTTTGTTGCACATATCCTTCCTTATTTCAGCAATTTCAGCCTTCAGATTTAAGACCGATTCATCAAAAACCTCTTTCAAATTGTAGAATTTTACATCCATTTCCCCTAAGAGAGTATTTACTGACTGCGTAGTACGCTCATCTTGGCTGCAAACTGTAGTCGAACTCTGATTATTAGCCGTCATATTCAGAAGCGATTGTTCGCCATGAATCCCATGATTCGGCTGCTTTGGAAATATATCGTTCAGTTCGCTCGTTATTACGCCAGAACTACAAGATTTTATTAGAACAATAATGTCCGCCGCTGGTTTATCTGTCGCTGATCGCCCTCCTAGCCTGTTTAGTCTTCTTGACGGTTTTCAAGCTTATGTTACATTAATATTTATACCTGTTTTCCATGAATGCCGTGTCTATCGAATATGATGTTTCAACAATTGTCGAAATTCAATAAGAGATTCCGCTTGTCTTATATTGCTAGGTAAGCTGTTCCATAGCACTGTACCACTATAGCTAAAGCTATTTTTAAGATAATTGGTGCGGGGTAAAGGAGCAGCAAGTTTGTTCACGGAGTCTCGAAGTATATATAAGGAGTTACATTATTGCGATTAGTAAATTTAGAACATAGATATTCAGGTACAAGGTTATTTAAAGATTTGAAAACCATCAATGCTTTTTGTATTTGCGAAGCAGATATATATGCTATCGCAAACGTGCCGTTAATGTTACTGTTACCGTATGTTAACACATAGCCATTCACCGACGAGCTTATATAATTTAAGCCAATTAAACCAATCAGCGATTAGCTTGCATCAATTGTTTAGGTCGTGCCCGCATCTAACCTGCGAACGGGCATCGTTTGGCCTCGTGTTATTCTTTCCCATTTTCACATTTTGGCTTAAACAAATCGTGATTTTGTCTTGTTTTCACGTGCCATTCTACTTGCAATATTATTCCGAAGTTATCTATGAACATGGATACTTTTCCTCTTCTGGTAAGTAGTCAAATACGACATATTTTATTATATATTTATACAGTAAAACAATATTGTGTTGTGTATATTGTATATTTTAATTAAACAGTCAAAACATAGCAGGCAATATATTTGCGACATTTGCCAATGAACAATGTGACAGGAAACTATTAAACGTTCTCAGGAGATATTGAATTAAATCCTGGTCCTGTATTTTTGTAACTCTGTTCAAAACAACAGTCCAACTAAGCTGTCATGATTTTGCTTTATTCTAACTTTATTCAAATGTTTAGAGATTGACACAAGAATGATGAATAAATGTACTGGATATTGGCTGCAGGATAATTTTATCAGAACAATGGCCACTTACAAGACAATCTTACCTGCAGTAAATTCATTAGTATGGAAAATAACTTAACAGTTTATACAATAATCATACATAATATGGATGGTCAGATCAATGGCACACAATGTACAAAACTAAACTTGTGATACCTTCTAAACTTGTGATACCTTCTGTGTTAAATCGAACGGTGTCAGTGTGGTGGTATATATCATTAACTGTGCACAGGATTGGAATTGAATTCTATACTTCACTTATGACCTTCAAAACATTCTCTACTATTCAGTGATCTTCGATATACGATTGACCTCTTTGCTACAGTGATGCATGTTCCACAAATAGTTTGTGTATGTTACTCAACAGTTAACATTGGCAAGTGTAAAGAACAAGTGACAGAAGTTTTGCTTCATATGATTACAAGAATGTTTTGAAAATTCGATAAGTATGGGGATTGACAAGTGACAGTTTACTGAATAGTCGGCTGTTGGCTGTATAGACACTTCGAATATTGTTTGCATGAAATTTTTATTTCTTGGCTACATAATTATCTGTTATAATCATAATCACATTATAAAACTAGAGGGCATTTAGAGACTGCATACCTCCGCCCACATTAAATTTCGGTCGTGTGAAATGCAACTAAGACAATATATAATTAGGGCTGACGCTTAATGAGGTTTATCATCTCATTGTCTTCTTAGTACTGCGTGCATACATTATACACGTCCTAATTACGCATTCAGTGAGTTTTTTTTAATTGACCGGGAAAAGCAAGACAAAATTTTGTTCATTTCTCGTTCAATTTTTAACCAAATTCAACCAAATTTTAATCAGTTCTTCCTTAGTCGATGGGAAATGCATTCAAAAAATTTCGTATGAATATGTTTGGTATTTCTTGAGTTATCGTGCTCACAGACAAACACACACACACATGTACACACACACACACACACACACACACACACACACACACACACACACACATGAAATATTTCAATTGTCCCATGTCATCTTCATTATTCAGTTCCTTTCAAGAAAATACAAAATGTGAATCAAGTTCTTTCGTAGATACATGTACGCTTTGCGTACCTATTTTTGAAATTGGCGTTGTTGGTTTATATCATCCCACCCTAGCTTTTCCAATAAACTATCAGCGTCAAAGTTGGAAAAGGTCAACACCCGCATTGCACGGTTTTGAAGTTTTTGAAGTTTGTTAGATAAAGTTTTCCCACAATTTTCCCACACGACATTACAATAATCAAAATGTGGTTGTATTAGAGCTTGGTAAATAACATGCAATGTTTCCAATGAAACAAATGACCTTAACCGCTTAATTAATAGCACCGATACCAGAAGTAATTCGTTTTGTCATTTTATTGATATGACTACTCCAAGTAAGATTTTCGTCTAATAAGACACCAAGTGATTTTGTTGTCGAAACTCGGTCTAAAGGAAGTCCATTTATTTCAAAAGAAGGATTTTCAGAAAGAGTACTTAAACGTTGTCTCGACCCAATTGACATGTAGTCAATTTTAGTCATATTTAAAGTAAATGCCAATAAAAAGGTAGTCCTTTGTGTTGCTTTATGCACACTCCTTGTATTGTTTTGAACTCGAACGCCACATTTGCCTTCCCTACCATAAGTCCCAATTGTTATCTCCCAAAATCTGGGAGACACGTGACCAGCCTGGACCAGGGTCTTTCCCCCAGCGAGGCGCGTAATGGAAAGAGCCTGGGTACGAGGTTGTATACAAACTCGAGCTGAAATTAACGTGCTTAAAAAACGACCCATCTTATGAGTTCATTGGCGAGGTAATTTTATAAATAAACATTGCCTAAGCCGAGGAAATCAAAGCTGAAGTTTATGTAAATCAGGACAAATCTTTATCCAATTTACAAACATTGATTAAACATTCATTTCTTTTGTATTTTTCATGAATTATTAATGAGTTTTTTTAAGTATAAGTAAGGCATAACAAAAAAGTTGGGTCCGTAAACTATACAAAACAACGCACACCAATGGTCCCTTATGCTTATGTTTGTTAAGCTGTGATTGGTTAAAAGGTATTACGTCACGTCGTCACGTAAATAGCTATATCCGTGTGTCTTTCCAGTGAATCTATCTTCTAATAGATCACGACTCTCGACCAGCGAAAAGGCAAATTGAAAACAGATTATTTTTTACAATGGTATAGTGAAAATTTACTTGGTTTCGGTGTCAGGAACCAGCAGGTGAGTAATTTTTGGCAATTTTTCTGTTTTTGTTGTTACAGTCGACAGATGATAATAAATCTTAAATATGGCGAATCAGTTCCTCCGAAAAAGGTGACACAGGGTGGATCAAGTCCATCTTATACATACGTAAGTGATCTATTTTCATTGTATTTGCATGCTCAGGCTCCATCGGCACAACGTATTCGTTTAATATGCAAATATACTGGTACTTTGTTGTGGATTTGTTTTTCATGTACACACTGTTACGAGCCGGTCCTTACTAATTTATTTGGCCGCGCTTTTGGTTCTATTTGCTCGCAACAAAGATTGTGAAACCAATTACTTTCAATGATATATTTATTTTCTTACTTGTAGTCTTATATATTACTCAATAATTAACGTCTCTATAACTTTCCCTAATATATATAATATATTTCTTAATACTGTTCAAACATCTCTTTTCACGACTGAGCACAACTCTTCAATTCCTGACAATTCATGTAAGGCGCGGAGGCCTATGAATGAATATGTATTAGAGTTGTGCTCTCCCTTATATACTGTTCCGAGAGGAACTTTTAAACTTGCAGTGTCATTACTTGGGAAGATTCTTACAATCTTCTTGCGGTAACCGTTCCCGTCCATTACGCACTTGTGGTGACCTAAATATTTGCTTGCTCATGCGTGACCAAGCTAAAAGAACTTCCCACGTAAAACAATTTCCCATAGGTAAATTAATTCTTTAACTAACTTAGAGTAATATAATATAACCAAACTATGATATATATGTGGTAAAAAGTATTAATGTATAATATATAATGTAAAATATACATGATAATAGCTATCATGTAACAACACGCTTGCCGAAATTGCAAAATTTTGAAAATGCAACAATAGCGTTTCATGTAGTTCACCCACGTGTGTCGTTGCCATTGGCACATGTTATTCATATATTTAATATCGAAAGAATATTGAACTAGATGTCGAAACTGAAAGAAAAACATATCACAAGCAGAAATCTATCTTGTGAATGACTTTGCAAGTTGGAAAAAGCATAGTTTTGAGAAATTGAATCATTCAATCCCTTCAAACTCGACACAGCTCGAGGCTTAGGTGTAAGCAATTTTTGGATCGCATGTCAAAACAAAAGCAACTATAATATATAATTCCTGCTCGTGCGCAGCTGTTATGTGGAGAATGTCACATATATTGTAAATGCGTCCTGTTGTAGACTATGCAAATCACCTTAGTCGTATGTTTCCTCCAAAAATATATTCAAGCTATCGAAAACCACCCGGATCTTACAGAAGTTATAGTCTTTTGTAGAGTTTTTGGCTAAAAAGTCGTCTGTTAATTATGGTTTGCATGGCATGTGCGCAAAATTCGAGATCTATGTGAACTTTTCGTTTGGAAAACGCAGACCCTTCCCAAGACGAAATTTAATTTTTGAACCCTGCTGTTCAAAATTAAATACCTAGGAAATATAACCTTAACGTAACCTTATTTTTATATGGGCGAGCTGCAGATGCTTACATAACAATATATCTATGACGTCATTACTTTCTATTCTCGACGTATTCTTGGAAAAATTCGCTCAAAAATTTGCCTAATTTTTGGGCGTTTATAACATCTCGCTAGCCGTTTAGTATTTTTATATCAATGTTTGAAGCTCACTGTTTTATCTTATTTATACACCTAGACACTGGCGATAACGTCCCCTCTTCTTCGTCCTCACAAGGTTCAACCAAGTTCTGGAGGCTCATCTGGTCTTAGTACGGGTAGTGTAATTGTTATAATGTAAGTAGCTTCTAATATATCGTAATATGAATTGCATAGCTAATAATGGTAATATTAATCTTAAGCCCGCCGCACACGAGAGCAACTTGCTGAGCTAAGCGCCTCGCGTGGCAGCTGGCTCAGCTATGTATTTTCACCGCACAACACACAAGAGTAAACAACACCCTGACGCAGCCCCCTCCATCTCCCCCCCCCTCCCGGTCCTAATTTCTTTATCTTGCACTTTCTCTGTCTTGGCGATCAGCACAGAAAGAGCAGTTACAACCTGTAAACTAGGGTTTTATGCATTGTACAGGGTGTCCCAAAAAAAACGAAAACCATTGAAATCACTTATTGTTAAAATTGAATGCCCTGCCAAAAAGTTGAACGTAATGATGCGTAAAATATTGACAAGGTGCATGTATTAAAATTTAGTTAAGCACATCTCCTTGTAGAGTGTGCGATTTTTTGATTTTGGGAATTTAAAGCAGCTTCTTAAACAGTTTCTTTGTGCATAAAATTTACTTATGTCAATCATTTATGCACTCGTGGGAACCAACAGAGTGCTAAGGCATTCAAATTCAAACAATTGAATTGTTATTGGTGATTTCAATAGTTTTCGGGGTTTTTGGGACACCCTGTACATCATTATTTATTCATAAAACAACGTTAATTACTCAAATTCCATTAGTTAATCAGCTTCCGCGGCGTGTTTGGCCAATTTGAATAGTAAAATATCCAAATGGCCATCCCGCCACGGATCACTGATTAAGCATTGGGGAAAAGGAAGGTCCATTGTTTCCAAATGAAGCACGGAAATGAATTCCTCCGCAGTTCAGTTACTACTCGCTCCCAACACTACCTCTCCCCCCATATACCCAAACCCCCATTCTCATATACCAAACCCCCATTCTCATATACCCAAACTCCCATTCTCATATACCCAAGCCGCCATCAGAGCGCGTGAGCGTCGTGGTGAACAGACGTGCTGTTATCGCTCCATTAAGGTTAAGTCAATCGGTAGTTTTTAGTGTGAAGTTTCACTTCACACTATTGTGATGGCTGGCGAATTCACACGAATCAGTCAAACAGTTTTAAATCTTTATTGCCTCCAATTTCTGAAGAGTAGGTATATTTACAAAGGAAGTATTAATAATAAAATAAAGATAGTGAAAAAACTAACTATTGTTACCGAACTAGCTAACTAAATTACTCCTATAACAAAAGGAAACATAACTTGCAGATTTCAGCAATAGCTCCGTCCATATGTCTGTGTTTGCACATAATGCTTCTAACTTTTTACCTAATATAACTAAGAGAAATTCCATGTCTGTCAAACTTGCTAAATGTACTGCCATTTCGATTGGCATAGTATCGTTTATCCATTCCCATAGTTCTTCTCTTAATTGGCTTGTGCCATTACAATAAAGTAATGCATGCTTTACAGGATTTAAGAAATTGCTATTACAAACATTACAATAGTCTCTATAAGTTTCTGGTTTGTTCACCCGTTTTCCTTTAATTTTGTAAGATCCACAGAGTAGTCTTAGAACATCATTAATTTCTTTCATAAAGTCCGGTTTCATTCTAGCTAATAACCACCATGGTGAAATTTCAATCACAGGATGAACTTCTGCATAAAGTTTTAGTTGACCATGCGTACTTATTTTTTCTTGCCAGATATTGTTATAGTACTCGTATATATGTTTTTTAACAATTTTCTTCCATGCAGATTTGCTTGGAAATTGATCGGATAAAATATACCCTGTTAGAAAGTCCATGAGATCATATTTCAAAAGAATTCGTACAATATTTGGAATGAATCCTTTTAAGGTGTTTGTATGGTTCCACTTCCAACGTATTAATCTCATGAGGAAGATCTTTCTGCACGGAACACCATGACTCATTAGTATAAGTCGTCCCAGAAAATACAATTTCCGTTTATCGACTTCAGCTTCGATTGGTGGTAAGCCCAGCAACCCTCTCGCAGCAGACCCTGATATTCCAGGTAATAACCCCTGTATAATACGCACCGTAGTATTTTGCACTTTTTCCAGTTCAACAATGTCATTACAATTCAATTGCCAGAGCTCGGAACCGTACAACATCTTTGGGATACCAATCCGCTTCCATAACTGAACTGAAATTATAGGATTTAATCCTCCATATCGAGCTCCCATTTTCATTAAACCCATTCCGGATTCTCTTCCTCTGGTAACAGCCTTGGAAACGAATGCAGACGAATCCTTATTTACATGCCATATTTTTCCAAGATTGAACCAACATTCCTTTTCCAAAATAACTCGTGACCCAAGATGCCAATCTCTAATGCTGCGATTTACACTACGTTCCCGATAGCTTTCACCAAACGTTAAAACTACCGTTTTCGTAGCATTAAATGTAAATCTCCATTTGTTACTGTATTCCGAAGCACATCGTAACATTTTGTCCAGTCCAGATTTCATACGTGATAGCATAGTTAGATCGTCCGCAAACATGGGTGATCCGAAATACACGGTGTTGATGCAAATTCCAGATTTAATGTTGCTCAATTCCTCGATAAGGTTGTCTATGAATACCAGGAAAAGCCAGGGTGATAGAACCCCACCTTGTCTTGTACCTTGCCCTAGCTCGTATATACGAGATGATTTTCCTTCAACGATAACAAATTCTTTCATGTTCAAGTACCAATTTCGTATGAGCCGCCAAGTTTTACCAGTTACCCCTTTGGTGTAGTATAGCTTGTAAAGCATTCCATTAATCCACATAGTGTCAAAAGCTTTTGAGATGTCCATATAGGCTGCATAGACTTTGTCATTGTCCTCGGAACAGTGATTTAGCACCTCTTCAATTGCAAAACATGTCGTGAGAGCATCTTGTTGTTTTTGATATCCACCCTGGAGCGGATGATGGAGACAATTTTGTTGCTTTTGTAATCGTGATAATACTATACGTTCCAAGATTTTATTAACACAGGGCAGCAGACTTATCCCTATCCCAGTTCAGTTACTACTCGCTCCCAACACTACCTCTCCCCCCATATACCCAAACCCCCATTCTCATATACCAAACCCCCATTCTCATATACCCAAACTCCCATTCTCATATACCCAAGCCGCCATCAGAGCGCGTGAGCGTCGTGGTGAACAGACGTGCTGTTATCGCTCCATTAAGGTTAAGTCAATCGGTAGTTTTTAGTGTGAAGTTTCACTTCACACTATTGTGATGGCTGGCGAATTCACACGAATCAGTCAAACAGTCAGTCAGTCAGTCAGTCAGTCAGTTTTAAATCTTTATTGCCTCCAATTTCTGAAGAGTAGGTATATTTACAAAGGAAGTATTAATAATAAAATAAAGATAGTGAAAAAACTAACTATTGTTACCGAACTAGCTAACTAAATTACTCCTATAACAAAAGGAAACATAACTTGCAGATTTCAGCAATAGCTCCGTCCATATGTCTGTGTTTGCACATAATGCTTCTAACTTTTTACCTAATATAACTAAGAGAAATTCCATGTCTGTCAAACTTGCTAAATGTACTGCCATTTCGATTGGCATAGTATCGTTTATCCATTCCCATAGTTCTTCTCTTTACCCCGGAACACCCGATTTTTTCTTTAGTAGCGCAAATGCGCATGCGCTATCAAGCCGTAGATCACGATGGCGTGACGATATGCTAGGAAGGGGTGACAGTGTTGTTTTCAGATGTATAAAGATTTCAGACGTGAATATTGAGTAAATGTTTGAAAATCTACGCAATATATAAATTGATCTTATGCATTACGGGCGTTCAATTAAGTGCCGATAATATTTAGACGGTATATTCATTATACAGAGCTAGGAAGGAGCTAGACCGCCTAGACAGTGCAGTCAAGTGTGTAAACATTTCAGACGTAAATATTGAGTCGAATATCTTGATTCTAGGCATTCATTTGAGTGCCGATATTATTTTCACGATATTCTCATTATACGGAGGTACAGTACGTAGGCAGAAGCGAGACAGTGTTGTTTTCAAGTATATAAAGATTTCAGACGTGAATATTGAGTAAATGTTTGAAAATCTACGCAATATCAGGGTGTATCAAAAAAAAACTGAACAGATTTAAAATTGCTCTCAATTTCGCAAAACACCTATTTGTATCTGGTTTTTTATATATATAGCTTCTTTGGGTACTTATAATGTAAAATAATGAAAAAAATTTCTCGAACTCAAATTTTGTGAACCAGGGGGGTGTGTCTTTTCCAACAAACTAAAAATGGCTCGCGCACAAAATTTAAAAGCTGTAATCATATTTTGAGTTAATAGATGGAAAATTGGTCGGGTTTTTAATTACTGTACAAAATTTCACACAATTTGGTTTAGTTTAAGCCCTTTAACTATTCATTTTGTTCTAAAAAGTCAGCCTTTCGCATGCTTAATTAATGCATTTACCTAATTTGCATATTGCTGACATATGCAAATTAGGCAAATGCATTAATTAAGCATGCAAATAGCTGATTTTTAGGAAAAATGTAACTTTGCGTGAATAGTTAAGGGGCTTAAACTAAACCAAATTGTCTGAAATTTTGTACAGTAATTAAAAACTCGACAAATTTTCCATCTATTAACTCAAAATATGATTCCAGCTTTTAAATTTTGTGCGCGAGCCATTTTTAGTTTGTTGGAAAAGACACACCCCCCTGGTTCACAAAATTTGAGTTCGAGAAATTTTTCTCATAATTCTACATTATAAGTACCCAAAGAGGCTATATATATAAAAAAACCGGATACAAATAGCTGTTTTGCGAAATTGAGAGCAATTTTAAATCTGTTCAGTTTTTTTTTATACACCCTGTAGAAAGGTGAAACGCTGGCCGAATTGTGTCACACGCTTTACTGCGCATGCGCGAGCGTCGGACAAGTGTCATGGCCAATTTTAGTAAGGAAAAATTGATATTTGGGTATAGACAAGACAAGACAAGACAATTTATTGCTCCGTAATAATCACACAATTACATTTTTTTGTTTTACATTATTCCTTTTTTATCTATTAATGTTACTAATTTATTTAATTAAAATAAAGGAGCTGACACCCCAAAATAACCATAAGGCTAAACGACTGGGGGCCAAGTAGCACAATTAATCAATAATTGTAAGATTGATCTTACAATAATTACGATTTTTTAAAGCATAAAGAACAATGAGAAATGTAAAGAAAAGACAATCATTTTTAGGAATAAAGAAAAAATTAATACTGATTAATAAAAGCAGCTTTAATTTTTCTCTTAAGTTGTACAAATGTCATCTGTTTATCAGCTTCACTCAGCACATTCCATACTTTCACTCCCTGATTTCTAATATTAAATAATCCAAAATTTCTTCTTATTTTCGGCAAAGAAAAACAAAGATTTGATGAAAGTCTAGTATTATATGAATGTATTTGATAGACAGGAGTAAAGAGATCATTTAAACTCGAGGGCAAAAGTTGTCGATGATATTTGTACATAAACATGGTCATACGTAATGTAATGAGATGGGTGAACTTTAAGATTTTGAGACGCTTAAAAAGAGGACTTGAGTGTTCATCAAAGCGAGAAAAGGTGACAACACGCATGGCTTTCTTTTGAAGTATAATAAGTGGTTTAAGTGTGGTTGAATATGTGTTACCCCAAATTATCAATGAATAGATCAAAAATGGGTATATTATTGCATAATACAGATTAACTAAAATCTTAATATTTAGAAAATGTCTAAGTTTAGAAAGAATGCCAATTCCTCTTTTGATCTTTCTTGCAATATGATCCACCTGATATTTCCAGGATAGGTGGGAATCAATAAAAACTCCTAGATATTTTATATAATCAACTTTTTTGAGATATCTGCCATTAATACTAAGACTTACATCTATTTCAATTTTCTTTTGATGAGGATGAAAAATAACAAAATTTGATTTTTCGATGTTAAGGGCCAACTTGTTAGCACACAGCCAGACATTGATATTGACCAACTCTTGATTAATATTCGATTCCAGATCTAATAGAGATTCGTTTTCATAGAATAAATTGGAATCATCAGCAAAGTGATGAAAATAAAATAGTTCTGAGCATTTATAAAAATCATTAATATATAATAGAAATAAAAGAGGCTCCAAAACAGATCCTTGAGGTATACCACAATTTATGTCATTAAGATTAGATGATATATTATTCATGGATGCAAAATGTTTCCTACCAGTAAGGTAAGAGGCAAACCAGTCATTAGCAATTCCCCTGATACCATACTTTTCTAACTTATTTATTAGAATTCTATGATGCACAGTATCAAAGGCTTTACTAAAGTCCAGAAATATTCCACAAGAATAGTTCCTATTTTCAATAGCCTTTTGAATTTTATCAATGATAGTCAGTCGAATTTTGTGGGCGGAATCCGAATTGTTTGTCATAGAGTATATTTTTCTTTTGGAGATAAGCAATAAGCCTATTATACATAAGTTTCTCTAATAATTTGTTGAAGACAGAGAGAAGTGAAATTGGTCTATAGTTATTCAAGTTAGTATGGTCCCCCTTTTTGAATACTGGTAAGACTCTAGCTAGTTTGAAGTTTTCAGGGAATATACCAGTTGAAAAAGAGGTGTTAAACAATGACATGTTTAGCTATGACATTTTGAAGAAGCTTTAACACTTTTATAGGTACACTACATGGTCCTACTGCCTTGCTAGTTTTTAGAGCCATAATTTCTCTTCCAATTTCGTATGAAGTGGTAGGGTATATGTAAAAACTATCGGAAGTTTGCAAATCAATATATTCCAATGGTGATTTAGAGACATTGGGATTTCACTGGCAAGTTTATCACCAATTTCTGCAAAATATTTGCTAAAAGCTTCTGCAATTTTTTGTGTTTCAGTAATTTCTTGCCCATTAGATTTGCCACCACGACTGACACTGGCGAACCCATCGCAATTCCGTGAATTTGTTTGTAAAAATTTCCCCGGAATTGAAACTCCGTCGAATTCAAACAAAAAGCCAATAGTTCAATAATATCTTGAGGCATAAGCGATGTCCTTTCCCTTAGAGTAGGGTCGTTCTCCAATCTATTCAAAGCAACATCTAACGCAAGGTCGGTAGGAATCGAGGTAAATAGAGATATAACCTCCTATGATGAGGAGCTTATTTCATTTGATGTTATATCTCTATTGTTTTACCTCGATTCCTACCGACCTTGCGTTAGATGTTGCTTTGAATAGATTGGAGAACGACCCTACTCTAAGGGAAAGGACATCGCTTATGCCTCAAGATATTATTGAACTATTGGCTTTTTGTTTGAATTCGACGGAGTTTCAATTCCGGGAAAATTTTTACAAACAAATTCACGGAATTGCGATGGGTTCGCCAGTGTCAGTCGTGGTGGCAAATCTAGTAATGGAACACCTGGAAACTAAAGCATTAGATACCTTCCCACAACGTCCAAGGATGTATTATAGGTTTGTTGATGATACACTTTCGGCGGTAAAGAAGTCTAGTATTAATGATTTCCATAAACACTTAAACTCGCAAAATCCTCATATAAAGTTTACCATCGAACATTATGAGGACAGGGGTATACCATTTCTGGATACGTTAAATGTTGTTGAGTCAGATGGGTCCATTAAGACGTCGGTTTATAGAACGGCAACACATTCGGACCGATACCTGAACTTCTCGTCACATCATCCTCTCCAACATAAAACGTCCGTTGCCAAGTCGTTGTACTATAGAGC